AAATAAACATTTGAAATATATGAGTTTGTATGTAATGTATGAATATAATATACAAGTTTCACTTTTTAAATGGAATTACTGAAATAAATCTACTTTTTCATGATATTCTAATTTTATGACCAGCACCTGTATGCCTGCCCATGACACACCACCACCATGAGCCACACAGTTCACCATGTTGACATCAGCAAACTGCTCACCCACATGACAACATACGGTACATGTCTGCCATCTGCCCTGAACAGTGAAAACCCAGATTATTCCTCTCCGCGGTACCAGCTTTCTTACTTACCACCCAGAGCCTTCAAGAACCCGCTCTGAACAGGTCATACACACAACCATCCGATGCTGTCTTGCCAGAAGCATACAGTCACCAGTCTGCCACTGGTTACCTCCTCTTCACAGAACCTTCCAGCCTCCACTCTTATATGTTCCTCCCTCTTTTTGAAATAGGTGTTGACTACAGTCACCTGCCTCCTCTTGGTAAAATCCACCACCGTCTGTCCTTCTTGACACAACTGAAGCTAAACTGCAGTTTCTTCTTAAGGATCAAATCTTGTTTTTCTTCTAAACTGAAGGAAACTTTTATCTTTGTTTTTATTAGATGACGATTTTGTCATTTATTGGCATAAATCTACTCAATGCTTTTGAGCTCTTGATGCAGTCTGCCATTATAATCCTTGAAACGCTGACTCATCACTGTGTGTTTTGTCCTTGTGCTGGATGATTAAAGCTCTGATATATTCTCACTCCCCTGTCATACACAGACAGTATATACTCAGCTCTTTAACACAGAACAGTTCTTCTACCTCTCTGAGTATATTTAAACATTTGTATTTTTATATTTTAAACAGAAATGATTTGATTGATAATTTTTTTATGTCACTTGTTGCGAGGCTGCACAGGCTTGTTTTCTTTACCTGGATCATGGAGCAGTTGTTGTGATACACTGCTGACACCTGCAGGCCCAGTTGTGACACCACAGCTCCACTGGTTCTGATGACACACTCGTCCACGAGGATGAGAACTTCTGCACGGTGCTGCTTACTTCCCTGGCTGCTGGTGAACCTCAGTCTGCTGCTTCTGGGCAGAGCTTGGAGAGCAGGGACATCTTGTCTGAACACAGCCTCCAGGCTCAGCTCTGGCCAGGGCTTTATGTCAAACCTCAGGAAAAACCTTCTCCCGTTCACGTCAGAGTCCAGGGTACAGGTCCAGGAACCTCGAGGATGCAACTGAACTGAGCCATTCACATGAGCCTTTGTTGGAAAAATAATCTGTTGTTATTGTTACTGAAAATGGAGGCAAACAGAAGAAATTAAAAGTTTAATGCCAAATCATCAGCACATCTATAGAAGTGCTGATGTTTCTTTGTTGTTTATTACCACAGGAAGGTAAAAGGGAGGGATAATTTTTCTGCTTGTGTCTAGCTGCACTGCATAGATTTTAAAGGGGCTATATTATGTGTTTCTCAAGCATATATTTAAATACTATACCATAATAAAGTATATATGTCACCTTTAGCCATTATTAAAATGC